CTCATGTTTCAGAATTGCTCATTTGCTCAATTTCCATCTGCTCATTCATAAGCAATGCATGCTCTGTCGTCTTGGTGGTCACATGAAGACAAATTTCATGGGGGGGAGGTGGTTCGGCTAAGACAAAAACATGACTACATTCAACCTTTATAAAATAATCTTGCTTCTTGGAAAGAACAAGAAATAATTGTATTTCCCAAGTAGAAATCTGAGTCTTATCTGCCATTTAAAGGCAAAATTCACAAAGCCAGGTTGCTGACTTCAATAGAGGTCAATTTTTCATCAACCTGGTCTGTCAAATCCATTTTATTTCACAAATTGGACAGCTGCATCTGTGTGTTCTCTATCAGCCATAAGAAAATGGTATTCCTTTGGTTGGTAGTATTCGGTTTTATTTTTGGATGTTTTCTCCTTTTATCCAGGGTGAGGAAAAATATCTTGACAGGATTCAATATTTTTGAAAGCATATGATATTTACAAAGGATAAGACCCAAATAAAACTTAGAACATTTTATAGACATTACTTCATGAACCTTAGAACTATCTTTGTAGCAAAACAGAGAAGCAAAGGACAAATATTTATTGAGGGCCTGCTGTATGCCAGGAACTGGACTGGGTAATTTATATAGGCCATCTCCTTTAGTCCTCACAAAAACCTTATGATATGGGGATTCTTATTTCCACTTTAAAGTTGAGAAATCTGCCAGGTGTAATGGCATACAAATGTAATCCCAGCTACTCAGGAGGCTGAGGCAAGAGGATCACCATGTTTGAGGCCAGCCTTAACAATTGAGACCCTCTCTAAAAATTTAAAAAAAAAATAAATAAAGGGCTGGGGATATAGCCCGGTGGTAAAGCATCCTTAGGTTCAATTCCCAGTGACATAATCAATCAATCAATCAAAAGAAATCTGAGCTAAAAGAAATCAGTATTTGGCCCAAAGTGACACCGAGGGTAAATGAAAGGGAACCTGGATTCAAACCTAGCTCTTAGGCTTCAAACCTCATGACTTTAGTGGCTTTCAATGAGAAAAAAAATGGAAACAACCTAAATGACAACACAGACATTGATTAGATAGAAATAGTAGATAATATGTCCACTGGTACAAAACAGCCATGGCAAATGATAGCATAGATCTAATTTATTGACATGAAAAGATGTTCACAGGGCTGGGGATTTAGCTCAGTTGCCAGAGTGCTTGCCTCACATGCACAACTCCCTGGGTTCAATCTCCAGCCCAACAACAACAACAAAAAAAAAGATGTTCACAGCATATCAAATAAAAAAGATTATAAAAGTAGAGCTTATGATCCCCTTTAAGATCACATATATAATTTTTTATATGTATATTTGCATTTAAAAAGTTATCACTGGTGGTAAAACTTAACATTTGTTTTTCTTGGTTATCTATTGTTGGTCCATAAGAAGTTCATATTACCTGGATGGAATGATGAATGGAGAGATGGTTGGATGGATAGGTGCACAGACTGATAGAGACATAAATAGATAGGGAATATACAAAGAGAAAAAAAATTGAAAGATCCAGTGTTCAAGCAAAAGAAGCACATTTGATATTTGAAAAGTTCTATTTATGCACTTTAAGAATATCTAACCATCTGAACATACTTGTAAAGTTCAGTTTTGAAAAAAAGATATATAGGTATCTGTATCACTGTGCATAGATATTTATTTTCTCATGCACTATTTATAGCTATAAATGTACATAAATGTGCAGATATATGATGAGATAATATTTATACATTTATAGAAAATGAGAAATAACATGATAAAGCCAAGGTAGCAAAATCAGGGAATCTAGGTAAAGTAAGTATGGGAGTTCATTGTGCTATTTGTTCCAATTCTCTACATTTAAATTATCTCAAAGTAAAAAATTTGAAGAACTAATCATTGATATTTCAAACACACATATCTGAAACAAGATGATATCAATTTAAAAGAAATCCTATTCCATCATTTGCTCTCCTTTTTTAATACTTGAAGCAAGAACCCTATGACCACTTGGTGAATTTGCCCATTATGACACTTGTCACAGAAGAACTTGGGATTTACTGAGTTGTGTATTCCCTAGAGCACAGACATATATAGGAAGTCTGCCACTTTGTTTCTCAAGACCAGAAGTATCTTGGTCACATAATTTGACAAATCTAGCACACATGAAGCCATGAACCAATATGAATCATAAACATAGACACAAATGTATGAAGCAAAATAATAGCTTATTTAATTTTAGCAGTGTCTTAAAATAAACCATTCACAGGTAAGATTTATTTCAAAATTATAAGTTTAGGAAATGAGGAAATTTCCACCTGAGTCTCCCAATAAGTGTCAGTGGCATTCTTGGGCACAACATTTTTGCAAACTAGGAACAACAGAACAATAAAGAATAACTATCAGAAACTCTATGTGTGAGTATGTGTACACTGATAGGAAATACTGGATGCATTCCTGCCTGTAGTAGAGACAAAAAAAATTACACACATTATCATTGCTATTATTCAACTCCATTCTGAAGACTCCAGCCAATAAAGTGAGAGCAAAAGAGAAAGAGAGAGAATATGATTTATAATTATTTCTTAATTTTATGATTAGCTATCTAAAAAATCCCAAAGAAGCCACCAAAAAAACTATACTTACTATGCATAAAATGGTTCTAATCATATTCAATATAGATATATCAAAGCTTTATATCAGACATAAGGGATTGTCAAACTTTGTCCTTAAAGGTCAGAGAGTAAATATTTTTGGCTTTGTGGGCCATGTGGTCTCTGTACCAACCATTCAGTTTTATAACTATAGCACAAAAGAAGCCATTCATTATGAATAAATGAATGAATGTGGCTGTGTTCTGATAAAACTTTATTTGTAAAAACAGGAAATGGACTGGGTTTGGACCACCATTTGTAGTATGCTAAGCTCTATATCACCGCTATCAAGGGAAAAAAAAAAGGCTGATGAGGAAAGTTATTTAAAACAGCAAGAAAATATATAAAGCCCTGAAAATAAACTTTCTAAAAGACAATTTAACTATATGCATCAAAACTTAAATTATGAATACTCTTTCAACCCAATAATTCTAGGGATATACTTAAAGAAGAATATAAAGATATGAACACAAAATGTTTATTACAGTATCATTTATAATAAGAAGAGAGAGTTATCTACTATACCATTCTTTTTTTTTTTTTTTTTTTGTACTGGGGAGTGAATCCAGGGGCACTTAACCACTGAGCCACATCCCCAGTCCTGTTTTGTATTTTATTTAGAGACAGCATCTTACTGAGTTGCTTAGCATCTCCCTGTTGCTAAGGCTGGCTTTGAACTCACAATCCTCCTGCCTCAGCTTCCTGAGCCTCTGGGATTACCAGCATGTGCCACCACAACGAGCTGACACCATCCATTTTTAAAATAGGTTACAGAGTAATATATATAATGTCAGCTAATTTTTAAAATAAATGGCTTTGCATATGAGGTCATGCAATATGAACCCATATATGTAAAACTATACCCAATTTGCTTTATTAGCAGAAGTTTCTAGAGGTAGATTTATGGGCAACATTCTTTCTACTTTTATATCAAGACAACCCCAGAAAGTTCCTTTATTATAAATACTTCACATCCTAAGGATATAAATCGTTCAATTATAACTAATGTAAAAGAAGCATCTATCTAGAACTCTTATATTTTTTCTATCCTTCCGTGATATTCCCACATGCACGATTGTGTGTATGTGTATGAATATGGGCTTCACATATGAATACACACCTACCAAGGAAGAAATGCCAGGGAAGAAAAATAGAAAATGGACAATAATGGTAGATGAAGGATCAACATTAATTAATGTCCCACAGGGTAATAAATATTAGTCTATAAATTCACTCTTGAAGATCTTATTTATGGCTCTATGATACAGGAATATCATCTTTTAGGATAGAGGAAAATCCTAACATTCTTGAAAATTCTCATTCAAAATTTACCAGATTAAATTTGAGCCTCCTAATAGAAAATAAAAGTCCATGTGATTTATATATAGTTGTGAAATTTAATGATATTTTCTTTACAATTGCTGAGCAGTGTCTAATCATTCTGCCAATAGTTTTGTGTTAAGTTTATATAAATTGATATTTAATTTTTATGTACTTAAAAATCTTGAAAAAATGGAGATGGGAAACAAAGAAAATTACAATTCTTACCACTTCTCAGTAATTCTATGTAGGTGTTACTGAACACTAGTTACATGGCATTACTTGCAGTTGTCAAAAAGAAAACAAACACTATTTTTGCCTTCTGATAATAATTACCTTATCTGGCTTTGAAATCTTCCTAATTCTCTCAGGAGGTGTCTTTCTCCAACAGCTTAGCATAAAAATTAGACCCAATGCAAACATAATATCCTCCTGTAACAGACATTTCTACAAGGACATATGAAATAAATGTATATAAGCACATGTGAGTACGTGTGTGTGAGCCTGTCATTGCTAAAAAGGCCATGGGAGAAAAGTGAGTCTCCCTAGAGCCAACTAAGTTAACAGGAACAATATGACAACCACAGGTCATCCAAAGTTCTCAAAAGTGATAGCAAAAGACAACAAGGTGTTAAGTACATTTTATAAGCCATGAAAATCCAGGACACAATAAGCAAGAAATGAAGTTTACCCTGAACACAACAAAGAAGTACATTGATATAACATAAGTTTCATTAACTATTCCTTTACTCACAGCCTCCATCAAATGTTATTTAGAATTTACTATGGCAGTAGAATTTACTATTGCATTATCAAGTATGAACATAACAACCTACATTAGGCTTATGTTGAGATGTGAGAGACTAGAATTCTGCAAACTTTCAATTTCCCATTTAAAAATTCTTGAAAATGAATTTCCTATAGTTAAAAGTGAGTAGTTATGCTTCAAATCCCAAATTATGCTTTTCTTCTCAAATATTGCTCTCTGTATATCACCAAACTCCAGTAGAAACTCACCCTTCAACTTGAGGTCAACATTATGTCTCAGCCAAGGATAAACCCCATAGCTTGGCATATCTTCAGGAATTGGATTATTGTTTATCCAGCCATCGCAAGCAAACCGGAAGAAATTATCACAAGGGTCCACAGACAGATTTACTTTACTCAAGATGGCAGCAGCTATTTAAAAAGAAAATCACAGGATTAATGACAAGCACTGAACATTGTGTACTGTTCTTTTCCAAATTAAACAACAATTTCATATCAACCAGTTCCCAAGCCTTGGCTCTATGTTCCTCCTCACATGACTCTCTGGATCAACATCACTATATGAAATGACCACATTCAGAGTGAGTAGGTAAAAGTTCCATTGTATGTTATTGGTCTTGCAGGATTATTCCTAATATCTGTGGGGTGTCAGACAAGAATACATATGGAGTATGTAGTAGACTGTTTGCAAAGATAAGTATAATACTTTCTTCCATTCCACATGTCTTTCTGCAAAGCCACCTTGTTACTCTTACCATGAAGCAATAGAGTCTATTTCCCCTGCTTTGAATCTGGGCTGGTTTTACCACTGGCTTTGGCAAACAATTGGCATAAATTACTTTTTGTGAGTTTCAAAGCTAGGCCTTAAAAGGTCTTGCACTTTTCAAACACTCCCTTTCAAATGGAGCCTTGAGGCTATCCTTTGAAGAAGTCTCCTGTAGACCAAGAGGCCACACAGAGAAGAACCAAGCCAACACCAGCTGCCATACATGTGACAAAGGCCATCAGGGACCTTCCAGCCTAAGTGAACCCCCAGAGCCTATGAAATACCAGAACCATCTACCAAACCCAGAGACCCATGAGAAATATTAAATCATTCTTGTCTCAGGCCTCCAAAGTTTGAGGTGGTTTGCTCCACAGCAAAGGGTAACTGAAACAGAGACCCACATGTCATCTACCTACATATTTTTTTTTAATTTTTTAATATTTATTTTCCATTTCTCGGCAGACACAACATCGTTGTTTGTATGTGGTGCTGAGGATCGAACCCGGGCCGCACGCATGCCAGGCAAGCGCGCTACCACTTGAGCCACATCCCCAGCCCCTACCTACATATTTTTTAAAAAATATTTTTAGTTGCTGATGTACCTTCATTTTTTATTTATTTATATATGGTGCTGAGGATCGAACCTAGTGCCTCACATATGCTAGGCAAGTGCCCTGCCACTGAGCCACAACCCAAGCCCCTACCTACATATTTTTTAAAAAATATTTTTAGTTGCTGATGTACCTTCATTTTTTATTTATTTATATATGGTGCTGAGGATCGAACCTAGTGCCTCACATATGCTAGGCAAGTGCCCTGCCACTGAGCCACAACCCAAGCCCCTACCTACATATTTTAAACACATACTTGCAACATTCCTTCATAAAAACCAGGAAGGCCAGTATGAATTCTTCAGCCCCTTGATATCCAGTGTAGGTCTCAGAGGAAGGGAGCCCTGAAAGAGACCCACACAGGCCCTGAAAGGAAACTTGGGGCCATTTGGCAGGCAATTCTGGGGTGTAGGAGAGAGCTGCAGACTTGGCCCCACAGGCACCTTGACTGGGCTGGGGGAGAGGAATGGCCACAGAAGGACCAAAATGAAGTATTCTAAATAAGGGGCCCAGGTATGGGGTAGAATTGAGTATTCATATGAGTTAACAGAAAGATACAATACACTAATCTACCCTGTTTTTCCTTTTTTATAAGCCCAAACACAATTATATGTTGACCATAGTTCATAGATAGGAAATTTTTACATAAATATGTATCCATAAGTTTTGAAAGAAAATCTTCTATCACAAAATGAAAAGGTTCTAAATTTTCTAATATTGACCTCCAATTCTCTTCCAACTGCCATACAATTGCTGGCTACCACTCTGGCACAAAGATATGCACCAACTGATTAAAAAAAACAGCAGCCAATATTTTAATAACATTGGAAGAAAGACATTCTGGGCGATTTTCATACCTTAATTAATGCCAGAATATATTTCTCTTTGAAGTAATGAAAATCTGATGACTTTTCAGCTAGATGAGAATGAACTGCCCCCAAAAGTATAATATGCAGGGCTGGGGTTGTGACTCAGTGGTAGAGGGCTTGCCTCACACTTGTGAAGCACTGGGTTCCATCCTCAGCACCACATAAAAATAAATAAATATCAGGTTGGAGATGTGGCTCAGTGGTAGAGGGCTTGCCTTGCACATGTGAAGCCCTGGGTTCAATCCTCAGCACCACACAAAAATAAATAGATCTTTTTTTTTTAATATTTATTTTTCAGTTCTCGACAGACACAACATCTTTGTTGGTATGTGGTGCTGAGGATCGAACCCAGGTCGCACGCATACCAGGCGAGCGCGCTACCGCTTGAGCCACATCCCCAGCCCACACAAAAATAAATAAATTAAATAATGTGTGTCTGTCTACAACTAAAAAAAAATGTTTAAAAAAAACTTGAGCTTTTAAAAAATAAATAAATAAGGGTATTTTGTCCATCTACAACTAAAAATTTTTAACAAAAAGTACAATCTGCATAAATAAATAAAGATATTATGTCCATCTACAACTAAAAAAAGTTTAAAAAAATAAAGCTAGATATTTCTCTATACTACACTATGAAAATTTCAAACAGCCTTTGTCCTCATTGAAGTGAATAATCAACAAACATCCTAATTTCTAGAGGACTTCAAAATCCCTGCTGCTTTCAACCCCCCTCCCAAAATAAACAACCAGCAAAAACTTGATTTACCAGTTCAACAGATTTTAAATTGACTTAATATTTTTGTTTTTCAGAATGAACTCAGTTGTATTTAATTACATGTATGCTTACTGCTACTGTTTTATCATTACCATTTAATATGCAACCATGCTAGGACATACAAAGTCTTCCTTCCATTTTATATTTATAGTCTGTGCAGCCCCAGAATGAATCTGCAATGTGACACCTCAGGGATACGGTTCACACAAGTCTCAGTCCCACACAATATTTACAGTCACACAGGGGAGTCCTCACATGAATTTTTATTCACATAAGCTCACTGTTTTCTGGCTTCCTTCCCAAACTTCCCTTCCCCCAACCCTCAAATACATCCTCTCCATCTCCTCAGTTTGCTAGCAGGTACCTACAAAAACTGCAAGGTCAGCTCTGACCTCGGTCCTGATACTAAAGTAGGGGAATACATCACTTGCATGAATTTGGAAAGGAGCCCTGTGAGTGAGAAAACTCTTCCCTCTGCCTTGCAATTCATCATTCACGATTCATAGCTGGGCACAAGGCTGTGCTTTCTGCAGGAGAACTGTGACTTCAAATCACAAGGGACCATACTTGTCAAGACACCAAACTCCTTTCCCCCTACTCAGCTCCATAGAAAAAACCCAGAGAATCTTGTTTTAATAAAAGAAATATGATGATGAAGGAAACCTGTGAAAGCTCAGGCTGTGTATTCTCTCAAGTCATTGCAGATGAGGTTAATTGGTAGGCAGTCTCCAGCTAGTTTATGGAGTACAGATGGAGGCATCTTGCCATATACCAATATGAGTTTTTAGGTTTAGTCAGGGCTCAGGGGAGAGTCTTATTAAGGGCCTCAACCTCATTATTTATATAAAATAATAAAATCACTAACATTAAGTATTTCTGCTATGCCAGGAACTATATGCTAAGCCCCTTCCAAGCAATATAGCATCATCATAAACTCTGGAGTCAGACTACGTGGGTCAGAGGAACAGCAACAGTGTGCAATAGCTGTACAACCTGGGAAGATTACTTAACCTTCATGTATCTTAATTTCCTCATCTGTAAAATGAGGATAATAATAATAACAACAACATATAGGATCACCATGCTAATTAAATGAGTAAGTATATGTAAATTGCTTATAACAGTGTCAGGCACATTGCCATATAACTATGATCAGCAGATAAAATATAAGGTGCCCAGTAAAATTTGAATTTCAGATAAAAAACTACTTTTAGAATAATAATTGATTATTAGAATAAGTATATATAAAATATTATGTCGGACATATTTATACAAAAACATTGTCAACACTATATATCTGCAATTCAACTTAACTGAGCATCCTCTTATATGTATATATTTAGCTAAATATGGGAAGCATACATGTAAACATTTGCTATTATAATTCCATAAACACTTATCTGGAACTCTGAAGTTAGATTTTCAGAGCTCACAGATTTTTCAGATTTTGAAAAAGAAATAGTGTATAACCACATATGATATCATAACTCAGAAATGTCTGGAGTGGACCCCTAAAGCAAGCACTTAATATTTCTATGGGGAACATAGAAATACTACTTATGTTCTCCTAAGTAGGATCGATAAAGTCTAAATGACCTCACATGAGTTAAGATCCAGTTTATCCATCATAGGAATTGAGGTCACATTTGCTCTGGCCACCTGGGAATTGCAATACTTTCTGGGATTGCACATTGTGGACCTGGATTACTAGTACCATTATTATTTTGTTTTATTCTCACAACTAGTATGATAAGTTAAAACCTGTTATCCTCATTTCATAGATGGTAAAACTGCCACTTAAGGAGGTTAAATATTTAGCCCAGGATCACGTGGCTTGTATGTGACCATAACAGGCTTCAAACACAAGTGAAAGGCTTGTCCACCTTTATCCACTATCATTAGCATGACCTTTCCTTGTTTCTTTATATTCTTTCTACAGCTCTCATTTTGAAAGAGGGATCAGAAGAAGTGAACAAGAAGAGAGGAAAGAAAAGTTACAGAGAGGCTGAATCTCAGAAATGGTTGGCATGTGTTCAGAAGTGGAACAGAAGGTGATCAAAAACATCCTCTCCTGAACTTTTATTATGTGGATTTGTGCCCATATACCCTCATCTTCATACCAGCTCTTGTGTAGATCCTGGCTTATACAATTCTCCTACCATATCTATTCGAGCTGTTCTACAGACCCCTGGGCAAAATGAAGCTCATGTCCCATCAAAGAGGACTGTATTTTTTGTGACCCTTTCACAACTGAAACAGCAAAACCAATATTTTTAAACATTAGAAAGCCATTTGACAAAACAAAAATTAAAAACAGGAAAAACATACTAGATGGCAGAAAGCAACATTATCAGAAAGCAGTCTTTAGGTTTAACTCTGGCATTGTTATGATTTGTAATAAGCAAAATTTATGCAGTAAGTGACCTTCCATACCAAAAGTTGTCTAAACTCAAATTGAAGATTCTGAGTTTTATAAATTTCAAATTCTCCCAGCCACAAGAACCCTAACCACATCAAAAGTACCAGATGATGAAATTTTAAACCTGTTCTCTGTGCCACCTATTCCCTCACCCTACTCTATGACATCCTCTCTCCACTGGAGAAGACCCCAGGTCAACTGCTCAAGCTGGAAATTCCCACATCATTCCAGAAGAAAAAGAATCACCCTTTGAGGGATGATATCAAGAAGCTGAAATAGTTTAGTCGCTAGACTCTAGGAAGTCTAGTGGGTGGCAGGGTGGGGATGAAGGACTAGGGGGATCAGAAACACAGAGTTACTTGGCATGCTACCAGAGCACCAAGGAAAAGATGGAAAGGATCCAGACATGGAGGTAAAGCCAAACTCTGCCATTGGCTCAGGATAGGACCTTGGGAAAGTTAATTAGCCTCTAGAAGCCTACATTCCTTTATCTGTCTGTGGGACTTGCAAGGGTACTAAGTTCATAGTGTTCTTCTGGAGGTTTTATGAGATGGGGTATGTAAGTCACCCAACATGTTGCCTGGTTAAAAATGTGTATTGATCACTTAAATGGGACAAGAAATTAATTTTAAAAAGTAACTATGGGTAAATGGCAGAAAGATCAGTAGAGGGAAGGAAACAGGGAGTGGGGAAAAGGGAGGGGAAGGACAGGTACTAGGGACTGAATTAGAATAAAATATATTCCATGCTTTTATAATTATGTCAAAATGGGTTCTACTGTCATATATAACCAAAAAGAACCAATATTTTTTTAAAAAATAATGGGACAAGAAACCCTTCAATAACATAATAACCTAATTCATGACCTTTGTCTAAGTTCTCATAGTTTATAAGCCCTTTCACCTAAGCCTTTCCCATCTCAATTTATGCCACCAATCAACATCTAAGCATCACGCCGAGTCTCTTTTTCTCAAAGCCCATATCAAATCCTTCAGCATCCTTCTGCAAGCTTTCTATTCCTAAGCCTTCTGCATTCTCAATTTCTTGAATTCTCACCTGCTCCACTGAAACAACTTCATCTCTGAGTGACCCTCGATTCCTGTCCCCTACTGCTAGACTGAGAATTGAACCCAGAGTCTTCTACATGCTAGAAAAGTACTCCACCACTGAGCTGTACCCATGGCCCTTTTTAATTTGAAATAGGATCTTGCTAAATTGCTGAGGCTGGCCTCAAACTTGCAATCTTCCTGCCTCAGTCTCCCAAGTACCTGGAATTACAGGCCTGTCCTGCTGTGCCCACAACCTTCCCCCATTCTTGCTTCCCTACTTGACTTCTCCACACAGAAAGATTTCCCTGAATCTAGTTCTCCACCAAAAAAGATCTTTTAAAAGGCTCGTAAGGTGTACTCTTTCTTCTCAAAACCCATCAGAGGTTCTTGTGTATACTTAAGAAAAATCTAAACTCATGGCAGCTAGTCTGCCCATTCACTCCCTTTTCCTGCATGGTGCCCCTTACCCAGCAAATTCTGCCTGACCCTCAAGCCACACAAGCTCATTTTTCCATGGGACCTTTGCCCCATTTGGAAAGCCCTTGCCTCAATCTTCACAAATTAATTCATTTCTCATTGTTCAGGGTCCCCTTCACGTCCTCAGACTTTTCAATCTAGCCATCCTGTCACTTTATCACATTATTCTGTTTAAATATTTTAATTTTCTGCATATACTACTAGCTGATATTTTTCCTGTGCATCGATTGCCTCACATGTCTTTGATTGTCTGGTTCATTGATATATTCCCAAAACATAACTCAGTGCCTGGCTTGAAGAAATATTTGGTGAATTCATGTGTTAATCTTATCTTTTAAGGTCAAGTGGAATAGACTAAATGCTTAATGTGATCTCTACGCTATGACTTTCCCTTTGGAAAATGCCATGGGGCCCTGCCCACTTAAAGAATGGAGGTAGGGGCTGGAATCCAGCTCCTGCAAGGTCCTCACACTGATTTGTGGGGGAGGGCAGAAGCTAATTGCTAAGGCAACTTTAAGCACAAAGTTTCACTTTGGGTCAATGTGGTAAAAAGTTCTCAAGAGAAGTTTGACTTGTAACATGGAGTAGAAGAACCCAAAGGGACTCCCGGCAACAATGGAAGCATGGATTTACAAAGGACCCCTGCTTAGAGGCAGACAGGTTAGAGCCTCTGACCAGAAGATACACAAAGATTGCTTATGATAAACAGGAATCTTCAGCCAGCTGAGCCATAGAACGCCTATGGTCTCCGCCTGCTGGTCTTAAGAGAGGCCCTGCAACTTTCCAAGCCCCTTCCTGAGTTCCTTATCACAAGGCTTGGAGTATCACACTGCTTGATTATTGCAAGGAAAAAGAAAACAGGAAACCCAAACTCCACTATTTCACACCAAAACTTGAAAGTAAACTTAAAATTTCTTCAAAATTGCATTTCGTATTTGGTAAACCTCAAGCAAACAGAATACTAAAAATACCACCTGTTTTCTCATCTACTCCCCAAGGTACCATAATTATAACTTGACACAGGGTGGAAAATGGAACTTACCGGCTTCGATGCACTCTGGCTTCAGGCAGTACTCCTGTTTAGCTTGGAAATTTAAGAGACCTTGACTCACTGAAAAAACAGACCAAAATAAATGACAGACTTGTAGCAGACCACCATCAGGTAAACCACCATCTGGCACATATGCAAAACATTTAATATCAGTTCATTCTTCTCGGTATTGACATGGTATTCAAAACCTCATTGGCTCAACCCCTCAGAACCACGCTGTTCGCTACCTAAGTAGCCTTGGTAAGATTCTCAGTTGCTCTGAAATTCAGTTTTTGTCATATGTAAATCAAGTGGGTGAGTGAGTATGAACAGACTGAGAGTCTGGCTGCTCCCCAGAGCAGCAGAAGTACCTGGGAGCTTGTAAGAGGTGCACATTTTCAGCCCCACTCCAGACTTTCTGACTCTATCTGTGGGGTTTGGTTTTGTTTTCCTTTGTTTTGTTTTGGCAGGGTTGGTTTGGGTGCTGGAGATTGAAGCCTGGGCCTCAGTACGTGCTAAGAAGGCACTCTAGCACTGAGCTCCTTCCCCAGCTGGCCATCTGTGTTTCATCAAGCCTTGCAGGTGATGCTAATGTGAGAGCCAGTGTTAGATGATCTTTAAAGTGCCTTCTATCTCCAATTATCTGTAGTTTGTCTCACACTTTCACTCTTTATATTTATAACGACATCTCCATCTTAGAGATGGAAAAATTGAAACTTTTAAACTATGCCATTGTAAGCAACTCCAGAGTGGAAGGAGAAAATTAGCATATGTGGCATTTAGAGTTTGGGATCTAAACCATCCATAAAGAGGGAGAAAAGAAATAAAACCATGGGCATATAACTCAAATCATCTGGTAACAGTCATTTTCTGCCTGCACCACATACTTTCCTCCCACCAGGCCCAGCCTAGCTACTAGACATATGCACCTGTGAGAACCAAGATTCCAGCTATTTCCACTCTTCCCCTCAACCCTACCTCAAAAAACAAAACCAGGGATGGCCCTGGACTTGATCCTAAGCACCACATTAAAAAAAAAAAAAAAAAAAAAACTGTACAATTAAAATAGCTTTCACCAGTGCCTTACTTCCCTCATTTGGCTGGCCACATTATTCAAATGGATTTCAGCACAAATACTGAAGGATACCAAGTTTGAACTCCAGACAGAACCTTTTTCTGGGCATTATCAGATGTGACTTAGGGATTTCAAAAATATTTGAAATATGTTCCTCGGTTGCTGGGGAAGTTATATGGAATTCGTTATTGCTGTTTTCTGTGAGCAGAAACAAGGAGTTGTTTGAAGATGAGGCCATGGGGAGATGAACCAGGGGTGTGAACAAGGACTGAGGCCCTTCATGGCATCCTCAACAGAGAAGCAGAATCGGAGAACTTGGTGGCACTAATACTTATGTTTCTGGAAGCAATGGAAGACCTGAAGATCACCTGCCAGTGTGGCAGTTTTATTATTTATTACCCAACATTCTAAGAGGAGTCTGTTTTTCCTTTGTTCTTTTCTCTGCTGCCATCCTGCTAACAGCCTTTTTACCTGTGTTATATAATAAATTCAAGGAAACTGTCTACAGTACATCTCAAGCCTATTTTTAAGAAAAGAATTTTCTTAGCATTAAGGTGTGTTTTGATTTCTTTAAAAGAAAAAAGTTAGGTAAAAATATATATAGACAGCATAAAGATTGGTGTGGAATATTCCAATATGCTTGGGTGGTGAAACCATGGGTGTAGTTTTTCCCTCAGTCTACTCTGTTAAGTTTACCAAATGTTTTTTACTAAGCATGTATTATTTCTTCTAATTGAAAAATAAACTTTATTATAAATAATATTTTATTATCCTACACAATAACTTCTTGATACTGGCATTTTTTAATAAAAAGCTAATGAAATGGTTAAAGACTTAGTTCTTTCATAAAAATTAATTCTTGACAAAAACTCTCTAAGCAAGCAGAACTAAAATCAGTTATCTTTTGCTAAGGAAGAGTAGAAGAAAGGTTTTCAGTATAATTAATTGGGACACAGACCTAAGCTCTCAAGCAAGAGCAGTATATCCATGGGGGGGTTATTTTAAGATCCTGAAAATAAAGGATCTTAAGGATCAATGAGCCCAGGTAAGATAAAGGTGTCAGTGAATGAAATATAAACAATAAAGCTAATATTTTTAATATAAAAAAATTTAAATGTTACTTTTTACTGGTTAGGAGCTTTAAAAAAACGTATATAGCAATTTGGTTTCTCACTTCAATTTCTCTATAACCATTAGAAATGCCTTCAGAATCCAGTGGAGTCACACACATATCAAGAGTATGACAGATCAAGAGTATGAGAATGGATATAGAGCAGAGGCCAGCCAACTATGGCCCACAGGCTAGATCCAACCCACTGCCTATTACTGTTTCTATGAATGCTTTTGACATTTTTAATGATTGGACAAAACACAAAATAATAATAATAATTCATGATGCATGAAAAGTATATGAAATTCAAGTTTCAGTGTCCAGAAATCAAATCATACTGCACCAAATTGTGCTCATTTGTGTGTATATTGTCTATGTATATATTTTTTTAAAGTATTTCTTTTTTTTTTTAATTTATTTTTTAGTTATCGGGGGACACAACATCGTTGTTTGTATGTGGTGCTGAGGATCGAACCCGGGCCGCACGCACGCCAGGCAAGTGCACTACTGCTTGAGCCACATCCCCAGCCCGTCTATGTATATTTTTGAGCTACATCAACAGAGCTGAGCACAGCAACAAAGACTGAATGTATGGCTCATGAAGTTGAAAATATTTACTATCTGGCCTTGACAAAAAAAAGTTTGCTGATCATTGCATCTGATAAACAGACTGTGAGAAGGGGAAGGGAAGAAGAAAGAACACTTTAAAATAAACTGGCTAGGGCTGGGTTTGTGGCTCAGTGGTAGAGCACTTGCATCACATGTGTGAAGCACTGGGTTTGATTTTCAGCACCGCCTATAAATAGATAAAATAAAGGTCGGTTGACAATTTAAAAATATATATTAAAAAATAAAATTAAAAACTGGCTAAAGGTGTATAGTTAGTTATACCTGATGTTTTAATTTCTAGTGCTTTCACTTTTCTGAAACCACCCTAAGGCCACCAGCAATCACTTACTATAGAAGCATAAAGGTTTAGAAGAGAGATTATCCCAGAGCCTCAAAGACAAAGAAGAGGTAAGGAAGGGTTCTGAAAATGCACGCATGTGACTGAACTTGGACAGACAGAAAAATACACTGCAAAGTTAACTGGGAAGTACTGTGAAGCATATTGTCAAGAAGAGCATTGCCTGGAAGGTCCCTAGAGATTTTCAGAAAGGATTTTGCTAGATGCAGGGTGGAGATGGGTAGCAGAGCCTGAGAGACAGGCACTGAAAAAAAAACGTGGGACGAAGAGGGTGAGTCTGTCATAGTGCTGAAATGTTTAACAAAACATAAGGGCCCCTGAATTTATGTGCCCAAATGGAAGTGGTATCCTGAAGCAATGCTTCTCAAACTTGCATTTGAAAAGAAATCCCCTGGGGTCTTGTGACAATGCAGACTGTGAATCAGTAGATCTGGAGTGGAGCTTGGCTTCCAAGTGATGCTAATGCTGCTGGTCCAGGGACCACACTTTGAGCAATGAGTGTATTGAGGCTACACCATTAGTTTGCAGTTATTCTCCAACACCATTAGAGCCTCTCCTCGACACTAGAGGTGAGAGCTGGGTTGCTGGGCATATTGGATAGTTATCTTCTATTTTATACAGGCCTCCTTGTCCATAATAGCATTGACTGACTTGGTGATTTTACTTTGCTCCAAAAACATCATCTAAAAATGATGCCAAATAATCACTTTCTCTCAAAGGACAAAGACTTGCTGCCATGGAGAATCTTCCAATTAATATGCCACAGCCTCCGAATGTAATAATCACAAAAGTAGAGTTTGGAAAAAGTTTCAAGCAGTGGTAACATTTAAAAGAGTACATATTTTTACACACATGATAATCATTTGGATTTTGATGTCTGGAAGTGTTTGCAAACCTAACCTTGTAGTAGACACTTCCCACTTAGTGTGTAGTCCCTTGGTATGCCCATAGAATTTCTCCCCCAGTTTTGAATTTCAGGAGAGGATGTTCATCTAAATCCCAAGTGTTGAGAAATCTCACAGCAGTTTTCAAGAGCCACAGATTCAGTTGCAGGAACAGGAGATTTAGCTTCACCAGAAAGCAATAAATTCATCTAATTTCCTAAATCTCCAGCCACAGAAAACATGGAAAGATGGTTTTCTCATTTTAGCAGAGTTCTCAACCACACAACCCTAACTCTTTTCAAGTTTAATTATTGGTTTTCCCCTGCCAAAATAAACATGGTCTCCTTCATCATGTATATGCCAAGGAATGCTTCCAGGCTTGCTGCATTTCAAAGTGTACCTAGAATCTCCCAAGAATGGGAGTTGTTCCTTCATAACTCTCAAGCTAATGAAATATTATGGGCTGTTTGAGAAAAAATGGTAATAGCCAAAGGTCCCAAAAGCCTAAAATTTTAGGACATCCCTCACCCCTTACCAAGATGTCTGACTCTTTGTCATAGGGATACACTTGGATCATCTCATAGACTCTCTGGGCACATCATTCTCACCATGAGTCATTAAAATAATTGAATCACACAATACCTTTCAAATCTTGGAAGAAAACTTCTGTTTTCCTTCATGTTAATTTTTAAATCTATTAGAAAGGCTGAGTTTACATTTCATCCCATCAAGTCACTTGATTAGAAAGGACTTGAAGAATCCCATTAAAGGTGCATTGAAAGGACTGATTTGTATTTTGTGAATTAAGTTTTGTGATTCGCCCAGGCAAATATAACCAAAGTCAAATGAAAAGAAATTCCAGCATGGTTTCCATCATCATGTAAAAAGTTTTCCTCACAGCATAAATGAAAGTACGACTATGAATTCATAAACACTCAATTTTCAAAATGTAATTCATGAATATTCTTTTCTCAGTGCAACAGAATCCCGTAGTCACTCCAAACGACTTTATACCCATGTTCCCTTCTAGACTATACATTTGCTACAAAAGAATAGCCTTCTTGGGGCTGGGGCTGTAGCTCAGTGGTAGAGTGCTTGCCTTGCACAGGTGAGGCCCTGGGTTTGAACTTTAGCACCACATAAAAATAAACAAATAAAATAAAGGCATTCTATACAACTACAAAAAATTTTTCAAGAAAAAACAGCCTTCTTTTACATATGCATGTTTGATAGAAACTGAGACTATACTGCCTATTAACACAAGCAAACAGCTGTACACCTGTATTATGGCAAGGTTTTAAAGCATGAGGAAAGTTCTTGGCATGTGCCCAGTTCCCCTGGCCTCCAGTGCTCCACTTACCTAGAAAGAGGATCGTGCCCAGCACCACAGTGCCAACGATAAACACAGCCAGGGCGACTTGAGTGCCTCTGTTGGCCCCCTTTCTAGCCTCTATGCTGCTCCCCGTTTCTGCTTCCATCAGAAAGACCGTAGAGAACACTCAGGAAGAAAGTCACTTTTCGTGGTTTGGTAGCTGGTCTCAAGAGTTTGTTAGGCGTTGACATCCAAGGCTCTCTTGCTTTTCTACTAATGGACAGCTTAAAAAATTCACGTCAGGAAACCTTCCCTCGCTACCCTTTCTCAAATAATCCTTCACAAATGAAATAAAAGAAACTCAAAATATTGGTTGCCTTGGCTTTCCCCCTGACTAGACAAAACAAACAGCGGTTGCTTTATCTTGGTGCTCTCCCTCAGCAAAGTCCCTCTCAACCGGTTGTTTGGCAGGCTCTTCTCTCAGGCGTTCTGAGTATACATGTTTTACTATGTTGCTGAACAGATGTTTTAGCTATTTAAATGTATAGTCACTTGGGGAGGAAAAAAAACAACTGTCTTTATCAAAACTGGATTCTCGTCAACCTCCCCCCAACCATGATAAGTTAGGTGACAAGGACTCTCCGGACCTACTTCAAGATCTCAGTTAATCATGTAATCCTGCTGCAATAATCATTCTGCTTGCCTGAATTGTCCTCATCAAAGATATTCTTTCAGTGTGTGAGTCCCTTTTTAAAGCCTTCTAAGAGTTCCTAGGATATCCTGGAGCATTTTATTTTAGGAACTTTGTGTATGATAGCATGTGCCAAAAATCAGAGTCATAGTCCAGTGCAGTGCAAAGTAGCAATTAAGACAACCTACAGAGGCTGATGGTTTGGACTGGAACTTTTTTTAAGGAAGAAGAAAGAGCATTTCCTCTTTGTGGTGCTAAGAATTGTACAAATGACAGTTAAGTATATGAATTAAGCTTATTAGCAACCACAAAAGATACAGTGAAGGTTTTTTTTTCCCCCTGGATGTTTTGGTGAAAACTGCACCCATGTATTTTGTCCTCTGGTTCCCCTGAGGCAGTCATTGGTTAGTATGTTTTTGCATTTCCATATAGTGTTTATTTCAGCAGATTCTCTGGATTGAATTAGAAGGTATTTGGCTTCCCTGGGAAGATTGATAAATGACGGGGTCTTTAATTTCTTGATGAAAATGATTTAAATTATCAAAATCTGCTTGCTTTATTGGGGCAGGGCAACTCCTACTCCAATTCTAGTGAAATTATATAAATGTTATTCTCTAATGATATAGATATCATTAAGTCATAACACAACTACCACTTACCTGTTTCTGTTTTGCTGGAGATCATAATGCAGTAGGAGTCAGGGTGAAGGATTCAGCTACATCCCAAACCAGGAAAATAAAACTTGTACATTTGGCTTTGGGAGTCTCCCCAGAGTTCAGAAGGTGCCAATGAGCTCAGTAAAACATGATCACTTGTTCACACTCCTATCTGGCTAAGCTTGGTCAGGACTTAAGCCCACACCATGGAATTCTCCCTTGTTTTAGAACTTCTTCCATAACACATCCTACCCTATTTTCTGTTCATTTCATGTTATTCCCAAATCAGAAGATCATAAATCTGTGTCCAGTTTATGACATCATCATATGCTGTTACTCTTATATGCTCATTGGCTATTAATGTTATTTTGTGGCTGTTATTCAATAACACAGTCTAACAGGTCTTTTGTCCCTAGAATGGGATTCTCCCAAAAGTATCTGGACTTGACTTCATAATACATCTTGAACCATGAGCTCCTTGAGGTTAAAGAACATGTCTGTTGCATTCAATACAGCCCCAGCATCAAGAGTTCCTGGCCCATCACAATGAAAGGGGAAATAAAAGAAATGAAAATCATTCAAGTTAGCCCTAGACACTTGCTCTTATGAAGCAGCTTCAGGAACTTCAGACATTTGTTCCTGACAGGGCAGGGGTGGAAAGCATACAGCCTCTAGATTCCTTCTAAATGCTCAGCTGATAATGATACTTCACATGGGGATAGTACATAGTAAGCTAGTGGTAAACCTGTATACTTGATAGCAAAGGCATTTTAAACTCTGTTTTACAAATGAAGAGACTAAGAGCAAGGAAGGGCTTTAGGTGACATGTCTGGGAAAACTAGACAGGGAAAGATTAAGAGATGGGATCATTGCCATACACTATGTGTCTGCAACTTCACAAAGTTTTCTATGCCACTCAATCACAGTATCAGGGCACGCTTCTTCCCTCCTTCCTTCTTCAAATCTCCTCATATCATTCAGGGTCTTGACTGACACGGAACAGTGGTCATGGGTTGACCACCTTGGACCAGCAAGATTTCCCTAGAGTTGAGGACAATTTCAGGTTTGCCCTGAAGTTGTACCTATCCATCACTGACAGACAGGAATTCATTCCTGAACATTCAACTGCTGAGTTAAAAGCCATTAAACAACAACAACAAAAAAAATAACTTCAGTAATTTTAATAGAAAATCTATGATGCATTTATTCTAAATTAAGACATGCATAGAAAAATATATTAGTTGAACAATGAAAACAAGTCTATTGAAATAACAAACAACTTTCAAGATGTTAAAAATAGTTTGTTCATATAATGTAATGTAATGAAGGTTTCCTTTACTCACCAAAGAAATAAAGAAAAACTTGAGAGTGGGTAGGAATGATAGAGGAAAGGGATGTGGGTGAATCATTCATTATAAAGTGAATTCTTCATTCTGTGCCATTTTCTGCATTAATGTTTCAACCTTTTGGAAGGTGGTAATTATCTTGCACTAAAATAAACTGCATTTAACAATAAAGTAGCACAGGAAAAAAAAGAACTTCAGGGCGAAATAAAGAAGTTAAAAACACAGAGAAATAATGAATGTTCATGGAAAACTAAAGCAGGGAGCTGCAAATGGCCCACCTCCTGTTTTTATAAATAAAGTTTTATTGGAACAAAGTCATGCCCATTCATTTATAGATTGTATATGACTGCATTTGTGCTATAAAGGCAAAGTTAGGTAGTTTTGTCACAGAGACACTCTGGCCTGCCAACTTTAGAATATTTACCCTCTGGCCCTTTACAGGAAAAGTTTACTAAACCACAGGCTGACGTAAAAGATGCTACTCTTCTTCCCAAACACATGGCACACATATACAAAGCAAAATATTCATCTACACTGACATGAAACTCAAAATTGTTCCATTAAGTATTTGCAGAAAAAAAACCACTGTGCTAGGGAAGTTAGTGCATGCATCTTTTGTCTGAAACTGTAATATTGAAACTATAGCATATTGTTTAGTATGTTTGGGAGCAAAAAAAGTCATTTTTCTGGGGATAAAAGTAGGAAGACTGTCCAAAATTAAACCTTACAACTTCTCCAGGACTGTAAAAATAAATCAATGAAAAGTCACTCTGCAAGATTAATTAATTGATCATCTGATCTATGCATCCACTCAAATATTTCAATTAAGAGCATCCAGGGGCTGGGGCTAGGGCTATAGCTCAGTGGCAGAGCACTTGCCTCACATGTGTGAGGCACTGGGTTTGAGCCTTAGCACCTCATAAAAATAAACAAATAAAATAAAGGCATGCTGTCCATCCACAACTACAAAAAATATATTTTTTAAAAGAGCATTCAGGAGTATCTTGGGCCTTAATAGGAATCAATCAGTAAATCATCTGAGGTTTCTTTGTTTCTTAAGTGCCTGGCTCTGGGCAAAGCCTTGTGAGAGAAAACCAAAAAGCCACGGTAGAGACTATGGACTGGTCAACAAGATTCAAGCATGAAAATATGTGAACTCCTTGGAAACTTGGCTATGGAATGCCCCTAAAGCACCCAGACCTGGCCATTAAGGCAGTAATTGTCCAGAGAAACAGAGATCTGAGTATTAGATTTGTTGGGAAGACTTCCAGAAAGAGAATCTGCAGAAATGGACAGCTTGAGGGCAGAAAGGAAGGCTTCTAGATGGGTCAAACCACATCTTGAGATAGGATTTGCCTGGGCATTTACCCCTGTCCCTGTAGGTAAGATAATTTGTCCTGGGTTAAATGAATCCAGCAACTTCAACCCAAGCTGCCAACTGGCTGGGATGACAGCTCAAGCTGAATTTTTGTGCTAGACATGAATGCATCTGGTCATTAATTGGATGTGCAGAGTCTTCTGTTTCAAGCAGTAAAATCTCATGTGGGCCATAATTTCAGGGAGAAAGAAGGAAATGATTCAAATCCTGAAAAATGTTTTCATCCAGCCACTAGAAGGAGAAGAGGGGAGGCAAGAAAGAGGGAGAGAAGAGCTAATGATGAAATCTCTAATCTACGGGCTGTGGTGGGCTTTGTTATTTGTTAGCTAGGCCCTTCAGACTAGTGGGGTTTAAATTCCAGGTCTTCTCCTAATGAAACACATTACTTACATTATATCTGATGTTTTTAAACATCTTTCTTAGGTAGATGTCCTTATCTCCTTTTACAGATAAGAAACCTGAAAGTTTGGAACTATTAAGTGATTTACTGAAGGTCACAAGGCTGATATTTATCTTAAGGCCAGAATGGTCTCAAATTTCAAACTCTGGTCTCTCTACCACATTCCTTGATAAGTTTGTTTATCAGGTAATTAGTGAAGGTAGGTGTAGCATGTCAAAGTGACACTTGAACAGAAAAAAAGTGATAAAGTATGCTTCCTTTAATTCTCTTGTTTACAAGACTAATTATCAGGCTTTATTTCCTTAACAGTTACAGAAGCCATCCTTTAATATGGAGGGAAAGGTTTTTCAGTTAAGGAACAAAAACAGCAGAATGTAAAATGTCTCCTGATTTGTTGCTGCTTATAATTGAACATTAGGAAGGATGTATATATCTGAATGGGTATTTATTTATGTATTATTCATTTTTGAGCCAAAGGAAGATTTTATTTTTTGATTGTCTTATCTCCTTGGTTGTTTTAGTCAGCTTTATGTCACTGTGACCAAAAGATCTGACAAGAACAATGTAGAGGAGGAATAGTTGATTTTGGCTCACAGTTTCAGAGGTTCAGTCCATGGTGAGCTGGTTCCATCACTCTGGACCCATGAAGCAAAGGTGTGGCAGAAAAAAAGCAGATCAGGACATGGCAAGAAGGAAGCAGAGAGAGGTTTCCACTCACCAAGGACAAAATATAAACCCAAAGAAACACCCCCAGTGACCTTCTTCCTCTAGTCATACCCTAGCTGCCTATAGTTATAGCCCAGTTAATTCATCAGTGGATCAATCCACTGATTAGGTTATGTCTCTCTTAATCTAATCTTTTTACCTCTGAAAATTCTTGCATTGTCTTACACATGAGCTTTTATGGGACACCTCATATCTAAACCTTACATCAATCATACATCTATTTCTTCATTACTCACTCACTTCATGTGTATTATCATCAGTCCTTACAGTAGTCCTACAATACAGAAATCTTTTGCTGTGTTCTACAGATAAGAATGCTAAAGCTGGCTAAGGATAAGCAGTACTCCCAAGTTCATATGATGGGTAAATGACAGAACCCAGCTGGAACTCAACTCTATCTGGCTCCTATTTTGAAATGTACATGGGATTTGTTTTAATTGAGTGTGACAAGATGACATACACAAAGACAGCCTTTGAAAGAAGAGTTTATTTACAGTTTCCAAGAGGAGGGTGTATGCCATGCTACACAGGGACACATGGGGATGCACTATG